ACAGCCAACCGCGCGGACCTGACAATCAAGGCGACCGCTCGCCTTGAACGCACTTTTGTCCGGGCGATCACAGACAACGAACAACATCTGAACACCTGGAAACTTGAGCTTAGCGCTGTCAGCACACGCCCTGACCTCGCCAGCGACTACTGCTGCTTGAGGTCGCAGCTCAGGGTGCCGCCTTCTTCTGTCAATCGGGCACTGATCTGATGAATGTGTGGGTTTAGGCCTAGCCAACAGCTTAGTCACACACACTGCACATGGACGAGCGCACATACTCGCGCCGACGTTTTTCCCGTACCCCGTTGGTCAGCCTGTTGGGATTCCACTTCTTCCTTCCTTCTACAGTCTGGCCCCTAGTGTTCCGCGGGATAGGAGCTCTTACAATCTCCTCCCAACTCCGACCTCTTTAATGTGCGCAGAATAAATGGAACGAAGTGTACGCTTGCATACGGAAACGCTTTGATATCATGGCATAGCTGACAGAATAGCGTACGTTATAGGAATGCTTGTCCTCGAGAACCACATGGCCTCTTTCTAATGTAAGGCATGTCGAGGGAATCTGACTGCTCAGTTAGAAAATGGACCTCGTTGGTCAGCGGCTATATCAAGAGAGATTCATGACTGCTCAAACTGTCGTTCACGCTATCGACCTTCAGGAACCAGTTTAAATGGTGTTTTGACGGGTCTTTAATAAAAATTATTATTATTATTAGTAGTTGTAGTAGTGGTGGTGTGGTAGTAGTAGTAGTAGTAGTAGTAGTAGTAGTAGTAGTAGTAGTAGTAGTAGCAGTAGTAGTAGTAGTAGTAGTAGTAGTAGTAGTAGTAGTAGTAGTAGTAGTAGTAGTAGTAGTAGTAGTAGTAGTAGTAGTAGTAGTAGTAGTAGTAGTAGTAGTAGTAGTAGTAGTAGTAGTAGTAGTAGTAGTAGTAGTAGTAGTAGTAGTAGTAAATACATCGGGCTGTTACTATCTCCACCGAGGGGACCTAAACGAAGGAGGAAGATGGAGTACACCCACTTACAATCGATTAACTCAACTTTGCCCCTTCAGATACTTAAATAGCCAGCCAATAGAGGGACCGCCTTGTTTATTATTCATGATTAACGGAGTTATCACGGGCCACAGTCTGACATTTAAACCGAAGTAGCCGTCAGCTAATGGGAAACCTGCTTGGTCTGGCTGGTTGTCCACTTCGGACGGACTTTGAAAGGCAGGAATGCAGCCAGTGCATACGCCGAATTTACTTTGTTTCCTCGGAACGTCACTGCATTCATTTGGGCGGTAATTGCAGCTAAAGCAGTCCGGCA